TGCACACACACACACACCTGCACCAAGCCTTGAGTCTCCAGAGCCAAGCACCCTTGGGTAACTGCGTCCGAGCCCGCTCGCAGAGGTTATGTCACTCGTGGGGGGCTCTCTCGCCGCAGGGGTGGTTGTCTTGGCGTGCGTGTGCTGGCAGGGACTGTGCGCCCGTTGGTCTACAAAATAGGCGTTTGTCGAGGTTTGTCCGCTTTTTTTGGAGAAAACGGTTTTTGGAAAAAAAAACTCTGCCCGCGGCTTAATAATATATGTAGTATGTTGGCGCAGACCAAAACATAGAACGCTTGCAGCGAGATTGCACGTTACATGGTGGGAGACAGCAGTCAGTGTGGACGCACGACATCTTGTGGGAGCACATAACAGCAGTGGACACACGCAGCAGTAGTGGTGAATGTTGTGTCTGGGGCCGGTGCTGCTGTAGTAGTTTTGTCCGAAAAGATTGTGCATGTTGGCGCAGGCCAAAACGGTGAGTTTATAGAACGCGTGACACACATGAAGGCCGTTGTTGGTGTTGTTTCGCTCCTTGCTGACACGAGCGTGTCGAAACCCCAGTGTGTGGCAGCACACAGCAGTCAGTGTGTGAGCACACAGCAGTGTGGGAGCACACAGCACACACAGCTGTACATTAGTGTGCAATGTTGTTTGTTGTCTGGTGGCGGAGGAGGCGCTGGGGTCGCTGCCATCATCGCGACAAGCTTTCATCCACAGACCCACGCCTGCACACAGCAGTACTGCTGCTGTATTGCAGTGAGATTGCACCTACATGGTGGGAGACAGCAGTCAGTGTAGGACGCACGACATCTTGTGGGAGCACATAACAGTGGACACACACAGCAGTAGTGGTGAATGTTGTGTCTGGGGCCGTTGCTGCTGTAGTTTTGTCCGAAAAGAGGAATAACGCGAGAAATGATGGTTTTGTGCATGTTGGCGCAGACCAAAACAGTGAGTGAGTTTAGAACGCTTGACATATATAAACGATTCCAATTCCGTGAGGGTCTCTCAAGCAAGTAAAAAGTGTGACATTTTTTTACTTGTTTTAACTATCGAAGTGACTACATGCTTTCACTTGTTAAATGTGTCGATTTCCATTACATGTTTCACTTGATTAAAGTATGGAATTTGTCAGTTTTTTTACTCGATTGAAGTATGGATTTTTGTCAGTTTTTTGACTCGATTAAAGTATCGAAATTTCGGACAGGATTTCTTTATTGCTTTTTTCGGGATTGCTGGCTGAAACCCCAATTTTGCAATTGGGGAATACAAGGCTCCCCTTTCGGGAGATAGGTGGCTTGCTTCCCGGGGGCGACGCAAGAGGCCATGGCCAATGTCATCGCGGTCGCGTCGTTGCTCGTTACCATCTCAAAGTCATGACGTTCGGTAGTACCAGTTTCGCGTACAACCTGCGGAAGAAATTGCCTGAAATTTGCGTCATGTGCAACCAACCTGTGAGGGGTATTTTTTCTCGTCGTGATTTTTCGCATCTGTGTGCGTGTTGGCTAGTGGCGTCTTTGCTGCAGGTCCTACTGCTTGCTGTAATCCGCTGCGTTTGATTACTCACCCTTACGTATTCATGTTGCCATGGTCTGTGGGACATGTGTGCGTTGCACAGGCATCATTTTTTTTCTGGGGACGCCAAGCAGTTTCATCTTGTATATCTTTCGAAGGCTTTTTTCGCGCGGAACACATCGGATATCTATCCCTGGGGTATTATTCTTACATTATGATTATTATTTTTTGTCTTCACTTCAAATCAGCGCTCACAGCATTATTAGTGCTGTTTACTCCAACCCATGGTCACACAGAAAGAGTCTCTCTCTACCCTCCCCTCCTGCGGTACTTTGCCTTCGATTTTTAATGCGAGAAGAGTTCAGCATCTGTGTACACACGAACTACAGCGCTATCCACTATAGGCCAGGAGCGGAAGCGAGAAAAACTCACTTTGCAAGAAAAACTCGCGTAATTATTTACGCTGGGATTCGAACCCCTGACCTGACCTCTAGAAGGTTCCAAGGTTACCAACCAGACCACCAGGTAGAGCCAGATTTTTCAACTTTGGGCGTCAAGCACACGCGCCACGGCTGGATAGTGGTCCTCGGGCGTGCGCGGTATTGTGCCGACGACCCCCCCCCCGCGTGCCCCTGAGAAGGAAGCGTGATGAGAAACGATTGATTTGCGCCAGCGAAAGATGTCTCGAAGCACAAAAAAAACAGGCGAAATGATACATACTCGAAAGTACATATTAGTGGGCAAGTAAGTGTGGCTTGGGATGTATTCTGCCTTCACACAGAAAAGTGAAAAAGACACCTACGACATGTTGGAGAGGTCGGAATTATATAAAAATCAGTGGTGCAGCACTTTCGAGCAACATCAAAACCGACAATGGTGTTCTGGATCATCTTTAGTTTTGCTTGGTTTTAGCATACCTCTCCTCCCCCCCAGAGGCGAAATGGGGTACCTACACAGGTCGGTAGGAACTATTCTGTCGACAACACAGAAATGCAGGGATTTTCAAAGCCTTTTGACTTCGTCGACGATGGGGAGAGACAATCGAGAATTACAGTAGTATTGTCGGCGTTGCCTGTCTGAAGCTCATAATTTGTTTTGCGAGTGTAAATAATGTGTAGCTGCTGGCTGATCTTTCTGCGTTGACAGATCACGAGGCGATGGCCGATGATGAAAAAAGTACATATTTAGCAACAACAACTGCTCGGTCACCGTTCGTCGTTGTAGTCATCACATAGAGTCGTCCGGTCGCTGCTCGGCCAGTTAGTCACACCACTTTTGACCGTGGCCACAGCCCAAGTACCCAAAGGAAGCAATCGCAAAAGGAAATTAGTGGTTTTTGAACATTTGGTACTATTACTGTAGGGTGAAGCATCGCCCCCCCCCCGCCCCTAGTGAGCGTGGGGGGCATAAGGTGATAGAGGTCGAGTAGGTCTGCGAGAAAACGCCCGACGTGTACCGCGCGGCTACATGGTCGATGCTATCAATTTATACGTGTACAATACATACACCTCTCGGCCATTTCCTTTCGTGGGTAATGCAAACTTCGTGTTCACAGGATTCGTCCCAAACAACCAACACGCGCGTCACCAATCAATCCTGCATTCGGTGCGGCAATAGAGGTGACACATTTGATATTTTTCGTGTAAGCACTTTTTCACGATAGAAACGAGAACATGACGTACATACATGTAGGGGGGTTCCTGTATGGCAGTACGCCCTGCCGTGCTCATCATGTGAAGTGCTGAAGTGGCAGCCGACGTGGAACTCATCATTCTTCACAATTAATCACCAAACATACAAAGCTACGCCGAATATGGCAGTAGCGCAACGGCATCAATGATGCAATGATACCACAAGAGGGGCACACACAGTGAGACAACAGCTGCTGTACGCAACCCAAAACCACAGGGCAAACCAGCTGAAGCATCAGACACAAGAAAAACGATACCACCACGAAGAAGTCAAAGAACGAGCCAACCTGCACACCAAGATGCTCAGGTGCATTCTATAAACAACTCGACGACCACGGCATCAAGCCACACGGAGATTCGGAAGCACGCCGTACACGATTTATTCACCACAGAAGAAGTGAAGTTCATTTGCCCGAAATTCATTGGCCGAGGGGCACTTCGCCGTCTTGCTATCGCCCTTGATCGACTCGAACCATTCCAGACAATCATGAATCTCTCGCCTTCCTCTGTCCTACTGTTGTCGAAATACTTTTGTATATATGAGTATCAAGATGGTCGGTGGGGCTTTCCGGCTCCCTCGCTCAGTGAATCTCGGAGTATTGGTAGTTCAACGCGACGAGTACCGTCTGCATTGCCTGTCTGAAGCTGTCGTTTTTTTAGTTCGCTGTATTTTCTCCGAATGAATACGGGATGCTTACACAATCGGCGCACCGTGAGCCCTTTTGTCGTATCATGACTTGTGTTTAGCCAATAGGTCGTGTTGGTAACTCAGCCTGTCCACAAACACATTTTCATGCACCAAACTACCAGTGAAATGAATGCACATGATGCCGTGGGTAGCTGCAAAGCGGACACTGAAATTCGATTTTCCGAAATGGGTCATTAACAAGAGCGATGGAGACAGGAAGACGGCGAACACGTGAAGAGGAGAGAAACAATGCACATGGTCGTACATTTTTGTGGCGAAAGCCACTGCGTTCGGACGGTGATGAACCTTGGCGGGGGACGACTAATCACGATACCTACCGAGGCATCCTCAAAAATATTGTGAGGCGTGCGCCGTAGATGTGAGCGATATTGGCCTGCTGGTTGCCGTCGACTTCGAGATTCGATTTTTCCGAATTTATTTGCTCGAGGAGACAAAACAGTGATGAAGAGCGATGGACATGGGAAAACGGTGAACCGGTAAAGGTGACGAGAATACACAGCGCACATGGTCGTATATGGCCGCATATTGCCGAAATTGCGTGTGGTGTATGCTACTGCCCGCGGAAGTCGATCAAACTTGGCGAGGAAGGCATACTCAAGATATCGCGAAACGTGCGCCGTACTGTAAGGTCAACATGGGTCTGTTGATTTCTGTCACACATGCTGACTATGAGATTCGATTCTTCCAAACAGAGCGATGAGGGCAGCTGGACGGCGAACCAGCGAAGACGAGAGAGAAACAGCGCGCACGGCCGCACATTCCCGCACACTTTTGACGTACGCTACTGCATGCGGAAGTCGATCAAACTTGGCGACTGGCCATCATTTGTGATGCCCTATGGAGGCATTCTGCAGATTTCGCGAGTCTTGCGCCATAAAATGAGATCGGCGTTTGAGACACGCCCGGCCAAGGGTGGGGGAATCGGAATGAGAGGGTCAGCGACAAAAATGAATATAGGTCGGAGAGACTGAAGCTTACAGCTGCAGAACTTGTTCGATTGCTGTCGAATAGTTCGTCAGACACAGGGGCGTTCGTGCCCCAGGTGATCGAAGTAGACCAAAGCCCAAACCCTTGAACGTGAAATCAGCTTTTTCTTGTCGCTTCGCGATCGCAAGGTCGGCCCCAACTCGCAATCGCAAGCATACATCTCCTGAAGTTCACTTCTGAAATCAAACTATAACCAGATTTACCAAATTGCTCAACATCGACGAATATTAGTCTCCTCCATTTGTTCTGTACCTATCCAATCAACCTCGAAGTGTCGCCAGGCAATAGCGTATGGGTTCCTACGCAAACGCCATTATGCTCCCTTTCCGACAGATTCTCGTGCCGCTGAAACTCGGTAATATCTGCGCCTCAACGAAGGTTGGTACAGAAAAGTCCGAAAACGTTTCGGGAACGCGAAGGTTTCACTCAACAAATTGTCGTGGGAAAACGCGGCGGTAAATGTACCCCATCGAGGTACCAAAACACCATTTCCGGAAGCAATGCACGACCCAATGACGAGACATCCGATTATCTAAACAGCAAGTGAATATACGACGACTCGAATCTCCCAACACTTCGTGCCGAAACGGATAACGAATTACTTCACCATCGCGTGACTCCCCCCGTGGAGGAGCACAAGAAAACCACCGACGTTCATTTTCCGTCAACGTCAGCCTGTGTAGGCCAACGGAAATTCACTATCCACATGTTGCTGTAACGGGACCCTCTTCCGAAACGGCTCTCTTGATCTTCCTAAACCTCGGACATTGTCACCCTACCCGCTAGAGCACTTTTCATTATCCACCGGCCTAGATGTTGGATTTGTAAGAACGATCGACTCGCAGCACAGCCTAGACTGCACGAAACGGTAGTAGCGCAGCACGGTCAGGCTCAGGTCACCGTGTTCGAAAATATACTATCTACGGCTATGTCCTGATTGAGAGGGATTCGAACCCATCCAAATATGTAGTGACAACCACGTCGATAACAACCCGGTTCGCTATAAACTTACTCTTCGAAGGTTCCTAATTTGTGGACATGAACATTATCGACTGGCTTCGGACGAATGACCGATTTCCCTCGCAGCCCTGTTTCCTTGCTTGCCAAGCAAAACGTGGAGATGGAAAACTAGGCTTTCATCGCCCAACCGCCATCCATTGTGTAGGTGGAGCCGGTGACCATGGTAGCGTCCTCCGAGGCCAAGAATATCACCACCTTGGCAATCTGTGACCACGTGAAGATAACCAAACGGCCAAAACAAAAAAGGGTGTTCATGTCGGCCGATTGCTTACCGTAGTTGGCATGATGACATATCGCATCCCCTGGACCAGTCCCTCAACCTCGAATACTCCACGACGGAGAGGAACTGTATATAGCCAATATATTCTCGTCTACCTCTCGACGAGGCGGTTCCAAAGGCGCCAATATTGGCACCACCATGTATGTTACACAGTGAAGATCTGAAAATCGGTCTACCGTACTGTAGTAAGGGGTGTGGTGTCATATGTCGCCAACGGTACGTCCGGTTGCGGGTTAAGCTGACGATTTGTCCGTGCCCATGCCAGGCGAAGCAGTAATCAAGAGTGAACGTTTCTCGATGGACGCGGGCGAAGGCGAACCACGGTACCCGTATCGTTCCTCGCAGCGGAGCCGTGTCCGCCGTTCTTTTGATTTCGCCGAACCCACGCCCTGCAGACCGCTCTTTTGCAGCTGAAAAATTGAAAAAGAATGAGCTTGGACCCCGAGACCGACGTGTCATAGTTGTACTTCTAGCTGGCCTGTACTGCTGCTGAACATGTGCGGGAATGCAGTACAGCCAGCTGTACGCGTCTCACCTCCTCGGGCGCGCAGGGCCTCGGGACGAGCTGCGTTGCTCCGGCGAAGGCGACCAGAGTGTCGACGGGCATGTCGCCGAAGATGGGTGTTTCCACAAGGCCAGGAGCGACGGAGTTCACCCGCACCCCGGACGCCGCGCCCTGTCGAGATTCAGTCGAGATTCGAGGGGCAGAGACGTTGACGGGGCAGTGTTTCGGATGAGGAAGGTTGTATCCACGTCTTTCATTCCATCACTCGAGCCAAATATCAACAACGTAGCTGCGCTAAAGACTCCGACGGTGACGCATTTTATTTGGTCGGGGCATGGGGGAGGGTATCCTATTCTGCCTTCCATTCCGTAGTTCCCAAGGGGTTGTGTCATGACGTAGGCTGTTACTGGACGTGTTGCCATCTGTGGGGTGGTGGTATTCGGCAAACTCTCGGGGGTGTGGTGTGCCTAGAGCAAATCGGATGGTTAGGCAGGTTCGAGACTGGGATTGGAGAGTTTCATTTCCTGAGTTTGCTCTTCTTGTCACTTTACGTCCAAAATCCAAATTCCACAGGCACACAGCAGTAGACTATACCGCAGACAAAACATTTTTAATTTGGAATATCCATACACGCGTTACGCGAATGAATTGCGTCGTTGTGCTTGAGTGACGCATCGATTCGAACACGAGGATTCAATCACAATTTGTAGCTTTGGGCGGGATGTCAAGAGAACCCAACAGACCTCAATGGCGGCATACTTCATGAGCATTTCCGCCGCTGCTTTCGAAGCTGAGTACATGCCGGCGCCAGTCAACCCCGGCAAGGCTGACGGACGCAAGCCTGTGACTGAGGTGTTGACGATGATGGAGCCCTTTCCTCCTGCGGTGTCCTTCATGGCGGGGATCTGCAATGGTAAGCGGCAAGGGGCGCGGGCAGCTACTCAACATAGCGCGCACCGTAACTTGCTAGCGGAATCGGATGGCAGCTTGAGCCCCACCTTTATTTAAAAAATTGTAAGAACAGACGTCATGTCACACTTAGGGAGAATCGTAATCGTTCCAACATCAAAGTGAGTGGGATTCCTGATGAAGAATAATGAATCTAGCCGCACACCGAACCTGTTCTGAATCTGTTGTGATGACCTGCGTTTTTTTTCTACAGTGTTTCGGGAGCAAATTTGAGAGAATCAACGAACGTTTCGGGATTCAACTTCAGTCGAAACAAGGTGTTCTTCAGTGGGTTTGATTCTTCCCAATTTGGAGGATCTCAAAACCAAATTGCGCCACAAGGTGCTCCCTGCGAAGGACAAGATCGTCCACAATTTTCCGATTCACTCCTATGTACTAGCAATATGCGCCACGTAAATGTGACTAACATCTACTGGTTCACCCAACAGTTTCCGCAACAGGACCGCCACAGGTGTGGTCAGGGTATCGGAGGTGGCGACTGGATAGTCCACACGATAGAATATAGTGTGACTGAGTGAATTTGATTGCTGTATTTTTCCTCTCTCATCAAGACCTTTGGGAAATATGTATGCCTCAACATGTTATACGTGTGTGCACTCAACCGCGAACATAAACCACACAGAATACGGCGGCAATGATGGCACGAAGGAGACGTCATGTATGTTTGTGTGTTTAGCGGTGACAACAAGTATATCATCTGCAGTCGGAACTAACTGTTTCACACATAGACAAAGAGAGAAAACGAAAAACAGGGTGTTTTCGCATGTAGCCCCCGCCCCCAACTAGAACAGCCCACAAAACACGGAAAACAGAAGTATTTGTAAGGTTGCTCTGCACTCCATGACCCCCGCTTTCCGACAACACAGTATCCTACAATCCCTACCATTACACAACGCTTTTTCAACGGGTTGCAGAACAAGATTGTTGATGTTGACTAATTTTACAAACGCAAGAACACCAGAAAACCCAGAAAACGCACAAGAGACACACAAGACCATTCGGAAGGCATTGCGAAGAATATAATAGAAGTCGTTGATTCTCGCACAGGACGGTAGTAGAGGCTGCTCAAAGTGTACATTTCACGCGTCTTCTACCTCCTCACGCCGCTTTGAAATCATGAAAACATTACCACCATTCCAAATTCAAGTCATAAGAAGAGCGGAACCGGCAGGCGCTCAAATAAGGTCTGTTGCCAGGAACCTGGTGCAAAGTACTAATATCACTAATGGACAACCTGTAGCAGCGGGGAGTGCGTGTTGGCGCGCTCAAATCTGCTTCTGTGGTGATGATATCGAGGTGGCCTACGTACAATCTCCCCAAATCTCCGCAAATTCGACCGACACCCAGTGTCTTGTACTGCTTGTGCTCGCCGCCGCTAACCCTAATCTCCTTAACTGCGGGTTTACAGCGGATAGTTGATGCCACCGACAACCCACAGTTCAGGGGTTTACGCTCCGCAGCGGTGAGCACGGCTGACTGCGACAAATGTTGGATTCCGCTTGGTTCCGGCGCAGATTTCGGGGGGTAACCTACACTATTTGACAAATGGAATAGGGTTCCATGGAAGTCGAAATTGAATTCCATGGAAGTGGTTCATTGCTCCTTCCGTGGAAGTCACTGTTACTTCCATGAAAGTCAATATCGACTTCCATGGAATCTGTTCATCTGTTTCGGGTTCCAGCTTCCCAATGCTTCCATGGAATAAGCGGTAAACAACTTCCACGGGAGTTAATCCGCTTCCATGGAAGTTGATCAGCTTCCATGGAAGCACCCGATATCAACCGCTCGTTGCTACCATGGAAGTTGCATTTCGGACTTCCACGGAAGCGCGACGAGCTTCCATGGAAGCTTGTCGCTTCACAGAGTCTCTGTTACTACTTCCATGGAAGCACGAAAACTCCCATGAAAGCAACTTCCATGGATGTGGGTGACAGAGGTCGAAACCGACTTCCTTGGAAGCACAAAAAATTCCACGAAAGCAACTTCTACCGAAGCGTCTGGACATGTGGTCCTTCCCTACCCTATCACTATCATCCCTAACCCTAAACGGAAAGCAACACCACGGAAGCGTCTGGACATACAGTCATTCCAACTTCCCTATCCTAACCCTAACCCTAACGCCGATAAGACCGTGGAAGCTAACCCGAGGCTGAAAACTTCCATGCAAGCTGCCCTAAACCTGTTTTGAATAGCTTCCATGGAAGCCTAAGGTTCGACTTCCATGGAAGCTATTCCACTTCCTCCATGGGGTTTCCATGGGACTTCTGTGGAAGTTAACTTCCATGGAAGTGGCACATCCATACGTCATATCTTTAGTTCCATGAAAGTGATTATCGCTTCCATGGAAGTGCGAAACGTGTAGTTCTCATGGAACTTGTATCAACTTCCATGGAAGTAGATCCAAATTCCAATTTAACCTGATTTGTACTTCCATCTCGCCGCGATATTAGCTCGCCTCCCGCGGCCCCTTTTTATTCGATATACTCGTAGCATAGCATGGGGGTGGTATATTGCGTATACATATGCGGGGATTGCAGTGACGAACTACGGAGGGACAAGAAGTTTCTTTGTGTTTTCCTTGGGAGTGTAGTAGATTGGTGGAGATTCATGGAGATTCGTTCTGGGTATTAAAGCGTTATGCGTGACTTGATGCCGTGATGGAATGACGAGCTCAAGCACGCCCCCGATGAATACAACACGTTTTTCACCACGTCTACACGTCTTTACCTACCCGTGCGGCCCGTCATGGCCGAGCTGCTCTACGCTCCCATCACACACAACTGAGCCACCCGAATTATCGATCACGCTAGCGTATGACACGTCGTCTACGAGATTCGAGTCGAGCTTAGTTTGGAGTATCGCTTTGCGGCGATCAGCAGCAGCCACCGATGAGCGACACCGAGCAAGATCGAGTGAGCGCCCGACTAGCAGAGGAGGAAGCCCGGATCAACTACTTGGTCGAACAGAGGGTAGAAGCAAGACTGGCCGAGATGTCGAGGCAAGAAGCAGAGGAGCGGAGGACAGATGACGTCCGGACCGGAAGAGAGCACGAGGATCGCCACCAGCAACACGCGGGGCGGCCATCGGCCAACCCGACGACCGACGAAATCGCCCGCACACTCGCCGACGCCCTCACCGGTCGACTTCACGTCTCATCAGGGGACATGGGTAGAGTACCCATTAACGCAGGGACGGTTCGAATGACTGAGACTAAGCGCCTAGCGCCTTGGGATGGTGTTTTCAAGCAAGGGGAGGATGAGCAGGCTAAGTTTTTGATTTTTCGATCGAACATGGTAGCTATGTTTGCCCAGGAAGGAGTGCGTGACGTAGTACTGACTGAAGAAAAAATTCCAGTTGGGAAAGAAGGCGTGAGCATGGAGGAGATGCGTAGGGTGCATTCGAGTGGACGGGTAGAAAAGGCAATAACGGCGTGGAACCTGCTGATCACGACAGTGACATACATGCCAATCCTAACCCAGATCATCGCCGATGGGAGTCCTAGTGGAGGTTGGAAGATATTCCTCAATTATTACGAGCCGCGTGCCAGGGCCGAAAAAGAAAGGCTGTCATCTCAATATCACGCTCTTGAGATGAAAGTAGGGGAGACCCCGCAAGAGTACTTCGGGAGATTTGCTGTTTTGCGCAGTAAGCTCGCCTCGCACGGTGTTGTTTTCTCCGACGATGATGCCAATGCCCACATGGTATACCACCTTTCCGACGAGTACTCGGTAGAGAAGAAGATTCTGACCATGTCACCGATTCCCCCCTCGCGCGAGACAATTGAAAAGGCTGTGCGAGATGCTCATGCGGACTCGGTTCGCCGTCGGGAGGGGGAACCGAAGAATGGCGCGGGGCACGCGTTCGTCGCTTCCGGTGGCATCCGGGGCGATGGACGTGTCCAACATGGGTCGAGTGGAAACGGCGGGGGTCAGGACGTAGACGGAGGCGCCCGGAGTCGGAGCAGGAGCAGGGTGAGAGGAAACAAGAAAGGCGGAGGTGAGAGAGGAGCCGACAACGACCACTGCTACCTACATCCGCGCTTGTTCCACACCAACGCCCAGTGCTACACCCAGCGCGACCGTCGGAAGGAGCAGGAGCAGCAGCAGCCCCAACAGCAGCAGTCTCAGCAACAGCAACCCCAACAGCAGCAGTCTCAGCAACAGCAGCCTCAGCAACAGCAGCCTCAGCAACAGCAACTTCACGGACCGCCGCCGCAGCAGCCGAGCTACAGTGGGGGGGGCTGGGGCGGTGGGCCTCAGCACGGACCTCACAGCGGCTACGGAGGACAGCATCAGCACAGGTATGCAGCGCCCCCTCGTCCTCCACAACCGCCTTGGCGGCCTCCGTACGGGCACGCTAATGTGATGCACGCGTATAGTGCTATGCCCTACGGGGGGCCCGCGAATGGTACCGAGTATGGCGGGTGGGAGCAGCAGCAGCAGCAGCAGCAGCCTTCGCCAGACTACTACCAGCAGCAGCCGTACTACCCGCCTCCGACACCGTACTACCAGCAGCAGCAGCCACCATCGCAGCCTCCGCCACCGCCGTCGTTTCAGCCGCAGCAGCAGCAGCACTCCACCCATGCCCCGCCCCAGTCGCCCTCTCCCGGAGCAGCAACCTATCCGCCTGGGCATCTCCACTCCCTGATGGCACACTTTGTGTCCGCTGACGAGATGAGTTCGCTTTCGGTTTCGAGTGATGTAAGCAGTGTCGCATGTGGTGATGATCTTGGCTTTGCTTTGTCTGCACAGAGTTGCGAATACAGTCCTGGTAGGGAGGTATTTTGGTCTGATAGCGGTGCAAGCAACCATTTTGTGAGTAACAGCTCCAAGATGTACAACATCTCGCCTGTCCCCCCCGGCAAAGAATTCATCAAAGTAGGCAATGGTGCTTATTTGCGCGTGGAGTGCGTAGGTAGTGTCAATCTGGCATTTCACATGGCAGGAGGTCGATCGGGGGAAGCGGATTTCTGTGTCCAATTGACAGACGTGTACGTAGTACCAGGGATTTCGTTCAACTTGTTCTCTCTGCACCACACGCAGAAAAAGCACAGGATAATGTTGGATGAGAGGGGTGTGCACCTTTTCGGGTGGTCGGCTTAGTTTCGCATACTCGGATATCGGATGCTCTCTATCGGCCACCCGCTTGCCTCCCTCGTACCGCGACGGTGATGTAATCCCCTCTACCGTTGTCCCTCCCCCCGTTGTCCGCCAAGCGTCTCCGCCTGGTGTTGGTACTGGCCTTTTCGCGCAAAACCCCCCTCCCCCTTCTCAGATTTCAGGATCGGGTGCAGGATGCGGTCCGAGTTCCAGCTTCCCGTCCATCGGTCCCGCCGGTGTTGTACCTTCGGCTCCGAGCTTCCCGTCCATCGGTCCCGCCGGTGTTGTACCTTCGGCTTCGAGCTTCCCGCCCATCGGCGCTGCCGGTGTCGTACCTTCGAGTTCGAGCATCCCGTCCACCACTTCCGGTGTAGTACCTCCGAGTGATGCTTCCACGCCTATCGATGTTGATTTAGTGTCTCCGTCGATCCGAGATTTTCAGCCTGCCCTAGCCGCAGCCATCGCCTCATCCGACGTCCTGTCCCCCTCAGTCGTGAACCCGAATGTGTCGCGAGAGATAGAGATCATGCCCCTTGAGTCCCAGGATAATTTGCCTTTGATGGACATGAGTATGTTCTTGGATGTAGGCTTGATGAACGGACAGGACTCGGTCCCGCCGGGTGACTTTTATCCCGACCCATTAGGCGTATGTGAGTCCGTGAAGCCCCCCGTTGCGTTCGCTGTGATGCAAGATGAGTTGGACGTGCTCAGAGACTTTGTTGTCGAGTGCCGTGTGAAGCAAGATGTAGGTCCCCCCTCCCTTTCCCATGCTTTGGCGATTATCGCCCCCGGTGGTCCAGCGTTCACTGTAGGAAAACCCACGTCCACCATCGACATTAATTTGTTCCACGCTTCCACCGGCCACGTGAATGAATTCTTGATGAGGGAAACCGCAAAGCAGCAGGGTGTTCAATTGGTGGGGGAACTGCAGCCATGCGTCGGCTGCATCGAGGCGAAGGGCAGGAGGGCAACCCGGCCTGGATGTCGCCGTTCGAGGCCTTCTTCGGACGTAAACCGCCGCTCAACGTCGTCCCTTTTTTCCAGGAGGGGATGATGCGCGTGAAGCGCGCCAGCAAGGCGGACGTCCAATCCGTGCGTTGCTTCTACATGCACGGAGCGCGCAACCACTCCGCCGCCACTGCCGTCGTTCTCCGCGCCGACACCGGAAGGATCTGCCTGTCCAACAACGTCGTGTGGATCAACCGCCGCACCGCCGTGCCGGCGCCGGTACCGGCCAGCGGGGGGGGCTCTTCGGTCACCGCGGCGCCCTCGCCGGCCGCCGCCGTTCCTGCAGCCGCTGCCGCACCGCCACCGCCATGGGCATCGCGGACGTACACCTACACCCCGCCCACAGCGACCACCGCTTCGCCGCCGCCCACTTCTCCGTCGATCTTCACAGGGTCCGGAGCCGCGTCGCCGATCTCCACGGCGTCTTCGAGTGCACCGCCGTCCACCGCAGCCACGCCGCCCCGTCCACCGCCGACACCCCCGCCCGCAAGCGCCGCCGCTCCCGCTCACCCGCCGCTTTCACAGCGAGCGGTCAGAGAATTGGGCGAGAAGGAAACCAGAGTGCATGGCCGTACGCGCGGCGACCGAGTGCGCTTCATGGATGAGCAACAGCAACCGCCGTCGCCGTCAGGTGGCGGCACCGCTCTCCAACACCGCCTTGGGCTGCTGTCGATGATGGGCAAGGATGCGCTCGTCTCGTCGCTCGCCACCCGGGAGGCCGTCGATCAAGGACGTCGAGACCTGCCACCGTCCGCCAGCATCGCCCCTCCCGCTCCCCCACCGCCGCAAGATACGAGTTTAGCAGGCCATGGGAGCGGGGGGGCCGCAGGAGCTGGAGGGCCGGGGGGCCTGCACATGTTCGCAGCAATGTTCGCCACCCGCGAGGACGTGGAAGCCACTCTTCGTGGCAAGCGCCCTCCTGACAAGATGCCGGACCTCCCTCACTGCCTCGCCAGCGACCTCCGCGTGCCGAAAACGTTCAAGGAGGCCATGCGGTCTCAACATTCAGAGTTGTGGGATGATGCAGTCGGTCGGGAGTTTTTCGGTCTGTTGGATGCAGGTACTTTTAGTCCGGTGTAGCAACCAGTAGAAAACTTCATCAACGCCAAGTGGGTATTCAACTGTAAGGCAGACGAGTACGGATGGCCGACGAAATTCAAGGCAAGACTTGTAGCGCGGGGGGACATGCAGAGGGCTTCGATTGATTTTGGAGAATTGTTTGCACCCACCGTATCCGTGTCTAGTGTGCGTTTGTTGGCAGCTTTGGCATGTGAGCAGAACCTTGACTTGTGTCATTTCGATATTCAGCAGGCGTTTGTGCAGTCTGAGCTTGAAGAGGATGTTTTCATGCGTCTCCCGCAAGGTTGTGGTAGGTTATCTGGACTGATCGTGAAGCTATGCAAGAGTCTGTACGGTTTGAAGCAGGCGTCACGACAATGGCATGCGCACCTGACGAGGTGTTTGTTACTTTTAGGATTTGTACAATGTTTGGCGGATGCATGTGTTTTTCGATTTATGGAGGATGGATGTGTGATCATGATCATCGTGGTCCACGTGGATGACATTTTTGCCGTAGGGCAGAAGGAGAGATGTGACAAGTTTGGCAGAGACCTCAACGAGATGGTCCCCGTGAAGAACCTTGGGGAGTTGAGGTGGTACTCCGCGTGCTTTTACCAGAGAGATCTAGAGAGAGGCCTTTTGAGGATCTCGCAGCAAAGGTTTGCAGAAGAGTTGGCTGCAGAGTACGGCGTAGAGTGGGGGAAGAGTGTGCCCTTGCCTGTGAGCATGAAGCTCACCGACTTTGACGAGGACGAGAGCGTGTGCTGATGTCCCTTTCCGCGAGTTGGTAGGATCCCTGATGTGGTTGGCCACTCAAACCAGGCCGGACATCGCGAATGCAGTACGAGCAGTAGCGCGGTATTGCGCGTCTCCCAAGATGGTGCACTGGAAGGCAGCACTTGGTATTTTAGGGTACGTGCGTAGGACGAGTTGGATGGGGATTACATTTGAGAGGGGTGTGGTGACTGGCATGAGCATGCAGGTGTTTGTGGATGCTGACTATGCGAGCAAGGCAGCAGACCGTAGGTCGGTTTCAGGAGGACTAGTGATGTGTGGGGGTGGGTGTGTGACTTGGTTTTCGAGGACGCAGAAGTGCGTTACGCTTTCCACAACGGAAGCAGAGTATGTGGCAATTGCCGACGTCTTGAAGGAGGTGCTTTTCTTGAGGCAAGTTTGGCGTTTTATGTTGCCAGATGCAGGTATGCCGTGCATTCAAATCTTCGAGGATAATCAGGGAGCGATTCAGATTGCGCACAACCCGATCACGAACTCAAACTCGAAGCACATTGATGTACGGCATCACTTTATCAGGGAACTGGTAGAGAGGAAGGAGATTTCGATTACTCATGTGGCGTCGGAGTTTCAGCATGCAGATTTCTTGACGAAGGCTATCAGCAAGGAATCTTTTGCGTTGCACAGAGACTTTGTGATGAATTTGCAGTGACAGAGGTGTTTTGGGATCAAATCGTGCTTTGCCGTTGAGTGGAAGAGAGAGGATATGTACGAGTTTGAACAAGAGATAGAGAGGGTCAAGTGGAGATGGTAGTGTTTTGGAAGGTTAATGTTCGGGATTTTTCTTGATGATTTGGAAGAGTTGGTATGCGATTGATTGTTTTTGGAGGTATTGTTTTGGTGTTGGAGTTTTCGATTTTGTCTTGGTTTTGATTTGTTTTGGGATGAACTGGTATGATAAGGATAACTTTGATATTTTGTTGGAGCATGACGATGCATACGAGCAGGGGGGCTATTCGATATACTCGTAGCATAGCATGGGGGTGGTATATTGCGTATACATATGCGGGGATTGCAGTGACGAACTACGGAGGGACAAGAAGTTTCTTTGTGTTTTCCTTGGGAGTGTAGTAGATTGGTGGAGATTCATGGAGATTCGTTCTGGGTATTAAAGCGTTATGCGTGACTTGATGCCGTGATGGAATGACGAGCTCAAGCACGCCCCCGATGAATACAACACGTTTTTCACCACGTCTACACGTCTTTACCTACCCGTGCGGCCCGTCATGGCCGAGCTGCTCTACGCTCCCATCACACACAACTGAGCCACCCGAATTATCGATCACTTTTCGCCTTGACTTCTCTCGGCGCAAACCCCAAAAGCCCAGAAATGCCCAGACAGAAAGCGCACTGCGCAGAAACAAACTAGCTTTCTGGGCACGACATGATACTGGTTTTAGAGTACCAGGATGCGCAGTGGAGTTGCCGAGACGTACGTAGGATGCGCAGTGACGGGCCCCCGCCGGGGAGTAAGCGGTACACATTTGTCAAATAGTGTGGGAGATCGAATTTCGGACGTTTTTCAGAGATTGCTCTGACCTTCGATATTTCAGCTCCGTAGCAAACAAACCTGAACGCACCTGCACCCACGATGCCTCTTGATGGTGTCCTTTGTGGATATCAGTACCAGTTACCAGGTCCCTCCGACGGGAAGGTTGCTATCTTTCATTATGCTGCAATAATGTATCAGAAAAGAACCAGCGTCAAAACCCCTGTTGTTCTGGAAGGATCAAGGATCGGATATTTCCACTATGAACAAAAAAACACAGCTCGGCGGGAGATCCGAGACTACGCTCAATGCAACAACCTGTGGTCGAAAGTACAGGAGTGACCATGAAAATATGAAACTTAGCCTCGACCCGATATTTATTTGCTGTTTCTTGCCTCCTGGCCCGTTCGGTGATATTTCGCGAAATTCGGGGCTTCCCGGCGCCGCTGGACAGAAAACGTTTGTTTGTCGCATACGCACCTGATACTTCAAACACCAGGCGATGGACTTGACGTTGGTGTTCAGGATGTCATCGATGGTATCTTCGGTGATGTCCACGAAAGGGACGGTCTTGAAAACGCCCGCGTTATTGAAGGCCACGTGCAGCCCGCCGAACTTTTCGATCGCTGTGTCCACCATCTTTTTGCAGTCCATTTCCTGTTGTGCGTCGGGACGGAAGGCAGTAAATAGCGACTCGGCATTAATGCGGGTGACACATGGGCGCGCGACGAGTGGCCACGCCGGCAAGACTACGTAACATGCCCCTTCTTGCTTTTTTATCTGGCGAAAAACAGGCTGGATGCAGTTGTCGCGACGCGAAACGAGAGGCTTCAAGTTCAACATTCATTGCGTATTCCCCACTTGCAAATTGGGGTTTTAGCCAGCACAATCCCGCAAGAAAGCAAAAAAGAAATTTGTCCGAATTTTCGATACTTAAATCAAGTGAAAATTGTGTCGGATTTTCCTACGTAGATCAAGTCAAAAATGTGACGGATTTTCCTACTTAGATCGAGTCAAAAATGCGACGGATTTTCCTACTTAGACCAAGTCAAAAATGTGACGGATTTTCCTACTTAGATCAAGTAAAAAAACTGATCGAAATCCATAGATAAATCAAGTGAAAAAAGTGTTCGGAACCCATAGATTTATCAAGTGAACTTGTCACACTTCTTTTCATAGATTAATCAAGTCAAACCTGTCCAACTTGCTCGACTCTTGAATCGAGTTATAACCAAACCTAACCAAACCAGACACACACGTGACACGACGACGGCGTTGAATCAGCTGCGTGCGTCTGGCACATAACATACACACATAGACATGTATATCTCTTTACTGCTGCTGTGTGGACTTTGCGACCCCTGCGCCCGATGCGCATGACTCTGTGGTGCATCTCCCACATCAGATGGGATGTCCCACCAGATTCCTGTGTGCCAGCAAGCTCCTGTGGCACGCACACGCACTGCTGTCACATGTCTCACAACCTTTCGGAAGATAGCACAGAACAGGCTTGCTTACGATTCCTGGAGAGCCATATATAGACTATGTCTACATACGACATACATCTGAACCAGCAGTTGGTTGATGCCATGGCGGTGTCAGGAGGGGGGCAGAGCGATGAACGACTTTGGTGGCGTCAGGAGAGAGGTTGCAGAGTGCAGAGCAGCGCGGGAAGTGAAGCTACAGGGTTGGGACATATTTGTGTCACACGAGTGTGTGCATGGTTGTGACCGGCATGCGGTCTGTCAACCACCAACCGTGAAACGCCAGAAAAAAGCCAACGGCGGTGTGGGACGAACACACAGCAGGCATGCACATGTGACAGCAGCACCAGTATGATACACTGGCTGCACCGTGTTATCCCAGATCATCAGGACACTAGTGCGGAAAGCATCTCTCTCGCAATACTCAGTCTTGGGTGACGCGAAGAGATGCGTGAGCTCTGGATGCGAACTGAGTGTTGTGTGCGACATCACACACGCACTATGTGCTGTCTACATCTGCCGACTGAATGAAGAAAAAAGGGACGGTCGTTCGTGTGAGACCTTCCCACAGGCATGTGACAGCACCGGTATGACACGAAGGCTGCACTGTTTCATCTGAGATCAACACGACACTGGTGTGGTAAGGATCTCTCTGAGCGTGCCGAGTCTCGGGTGTACACGCGAAGAGATGCCTCAAGTGTAGCAAAGCACAGAATTTGTTCACCTACACGCAAGTTGCATTTTCAAAACTTCACTGTTGTTATGGTGCGTCAAAGGAATGTTCCGAATGGTTGAAAAAAAAATCAATGCTTCTTCTGAGTTTTTGTTTGTTTGGTGTGGTGTCAGCAAGGAAGGTTGTTGGATGCTTTCAATTATAATAGTCTACACCGGCACACTCCGGTGTACAGCGCAACCAACCTCCTCCGATGGCAAAGCACCGGCTGTTGTTGTGTATATATGCTCCAGTAGAGCATGTCAGGAAGCTGGTGGCATGCCCACAGCCTTGCTCTACCGTCGGATGCCCAGAGGGCGAGTTGGTCGACGAGATGTGCAGGCGGAGATGAACATAACTAGACTACATGAACTATTTGGCGGGCGTGTGTCTATCTAGCGAGCCGAATCAGAATACATAGTAGCGGTTGCTCTGCTTTTAGCGCACGCGAGGATCCTGTCCCAGATCAGATGGACGAACAGACAAGGGAGGCGACAGCAGTAGGAGCCTTGGCACTGCCCTGAATATTGGCATACTCCTCTTCTACCCCTACGTGCCACTATGTGTTTCGGGCCACCCACTACTGTCTGAACGTTTTGCGGCAAGGGACTCGATGCTGTGTCAAGAATCTCCTCGCGAATGATGCTCGCTGATGATCTGTACTACTGCTGCTGCTGCAGTCCTCGTCACAACAACATCATGAACCCACATCATGAATGAATGAGACTTACAACGCAACATCATGCGTGCGTACGCTACCATCCCCGAAAGTTGTCACATAGGCACTGCAGCCAGCATTCATTATGGTCGTGCCCATTCCCTGGCAGCACCCATCGTCTCCCATACAGCAGCCGCGCCGGATGCACGGGTAGCCTCTTTACTAAGCAAGTAAAATAGTGTCGAAATCATGGAACCACGAAGGGGTTCCGTGGATGAGAACAGATGATCTGCGACAAAGGCTTGAAGAGAGCGCCCACTCGTGACAAGCCTTCCCAACCCTAACGGAGGGAAAAGTACGGTAAGAATAACAGCCGTCCCACCCGCCCAGACTACGCTGTATTTGAATATTGCAGTACCGCCGAAGAAGTACCGCCGTACTGCAGTACTACCGCCATACTACAGTACCGCCGTAATTGTACCGCCATGTCGCCCGACTTCTGTGAGGTTCCCGTCGCACCTGGGAGATATGAAGTCTATCTAGTGAAGTACACTGCTGTGAACGATGGTATGCGTACAGCGAGTTGTGGTTCGGGTCCAGCTGACTATATATATTTTTTCTTAATATGACACAACGAATCCATCTCCTCTATCATAGAGTCTGAGACAGATTAGCAATGAATTCATAGTGTCAGAAATGTATTTATTTATGTTTTGCCTTTCTTTGTTGTGTTCCTCTTCGGTAGAACCTCTATTTTACTATCGTTTTCGCCGTCAGCGCGGTGAGCTGGTCGCCGTGATGGGTGCCTCCTGCCCACACGCACACACTTACCCCAGCGTCCAGATGAGCGATGAGCGCGTTAGATGGGAATCTCGGTGTTGCTAGTAGGTGGGTCTGCTGCTTTGTCGATGGCGCCTGCTGCCGGTGATGATTCGGTGGACGGGAGCGATTCTGTGGATGGATGTGGAATCGATGGCTGCGAGGGAACCAGAGCTGCAATCCCGCCCACAAGAGTGAAACACCATGGTCGACGCTGGCCGCGGCAAGAGCGTTTCAGTCACACTCGAGGAGCCTCAGTATGACAAAGAAGATTGACGTCTTGGGTGTTGGCAGAAATCGTAGGGGAACTATACGCTCTCAAGGCTACTTACAAAAGAAAAAAAAAGACGAAAGAAACCCACGCCGAAAGAGAGAAAAAAAGAGGTTCGCCGGTTGATGTGGGGCGCCCAAGGGCACCGAATGTAGTTTGGCATCGCCACAATTTTTCTATTCCGTTCGATATTTTGGTCTTCCCGCGAGCACCGAAGGCGATACCGCCATACTTCAGTATCATCGCCAGGTGAAAACCGCCATATTTTGGTGATACCGGGACCGCCGAAGGTGGTACCGCCATATTTCAGTACCGCCAGAAAAATACCGCCATCTTTGGGTGATACCGAGACCGCCGAAGGTGGTACCGCCATATTTCGGTACCTCTAGAAAAATACCGCCGTATTTGGCAGTACCAGGAACCACCGGAGGCGATACCGCCATATTTATTTCAGTACCGCCAGAAAAGTACCGCCATATTTGGCAGTACCGGGAACCGCCAAAGGTGGTACCGCCGGAAAACGAAGTACCGGGATCCACCGAAAAGAGTACCGCCACACTGAAGTACCGCCCCGCCTGCATCCGCCTAAAACCGGTACCGAGGTGAACCCTGAAAAATACAACTATCCATGGACCAACCCCGCAGTGCCTTCTCGCTGCTATTAGATGATGATTAGACGGACTATTATTATTATTGTTGTTGGAGACCATGACTAATTGACTTCTCTTTCGCGCGAACAAGTTGAGACGACTTGACGCGCACGCCACCGAAAATAAATATCGAAACAGTACCGGGACCGCCCACCACGGCGGGAAAAAAAAACCGGGAAAATTCCCGACGTATACCCTGGAAATATCACCGGGAATTTACCACCACATTTAGGTGGTACCGGGAACCAACCGCCAAAGGCCGTACCGCCCAAAAACGGAATTAATTCCGCATTCCGCCGAAAAAGTATCGTCATATTGCGTGACCGCCGAAAACGTACCCCACCGTGGGGTACTTCCCCACCTCAAGTTCAAGTGCCGGGAACCACCATACATAATAAATGTACCGTCGTCATATTGGGTGACCGCGGAAAAAGTACCACAAAAAAAACGAAGTACCGGGAACCGCCTAAAAAGCGTAGTATGCATCGTAGTACCTTTCCTCTTGTGGCGCCATCGTACACAAAGACACAAACGGCACTTGAAGTAAAACCAATTGGGGAATGTGATGAGATGTGACGATCTCTGACGCGGGTTCAGTGTGTAGTCCGACCACTGTGTGCAGGTTGGAGCCGCTTCGCTTCTTCAGTCTATTTCCTTCCTTATCCTTCCTTTGTCTCTCAGTCACTCGCTATCGCTCACTCCCAGCTCCCAGGCAACACCAGGCAACACCAGGCAACACACTTTGCAAGGCTATGGAATATAACAATAAAGAGCTAATCTCTTTAATTGTCAATAAAGAGCTAAGCTCTTTATTGTCATATTCCATTGGTGCAAGGTGGAACGCCTCCACATCGCTTGCTACTGCTAGTAACCATTGTACTGCTACCTGCCTAAAGTCGGAATACTAGGAATCTGGGCAGGTGGTCGGGATATTCATGAAAGATATGCCCGCCCAGATGGTATCTTAGTCCAAGGGTCCAAATACCATAACAGGAAGAAGCCGTGGGCACACGGCAATCTATTGACAATATATAGTCTAGCGTGGTTAACGGACCCTCTCACCGGGAGTTGTCTTCACATATAAAAACCGTTCCGATCTCTCTCTACCCAGTACCTTCATATGTCCGTGCTGATCCAACACTTGACGCGGTCGATTCCCGTGGTCACAGGCTAACTTACCATGAAGAGGTACGCTAAAAAAACTGGCCCCGAGGGGTCCGCAAGTCAACAGAAATCAACGACAGATGTTCTGGAGTCCTCCGCGCCCTCTGCGCGCTATGCGAGGTAAGAACTGAGACTAGGAGTCAGCATCACGGGCCAGAGAGAAAGAGGTACACCCCCTTGGTTCGATCTCGGTGCTTCACACGCAAGCAGAGACAAGGCCATCTGGCACAGGAAAAGAGAGAAAAAAAGAGCGACATAGAGAAAAAAGAGAAAAAGAGAAAAATTTAAAAGGAAACAGGAAGAAAACAGAAAACGAAAACGAAAAAGAAACGAAAAAGAAAAAGAGCGTGTGTGCATCATGAAACGATGACACGACTCCATGGTTCGCAGCTTGGTAGACTGTGCTGTCTGTCGTCCGCACCTTGGAGACGTCGCCCACCACAACCGCCACTTCTCCTCCGGCCGACTTGATTTCTGCGGCCACTTCGTCGAGCTTGACCTCGCGCCTCGCTGCAATCACCACCTGTGTACGTACGCACAACATGTATGTTGGAAAGTGGTACAGTCGCAGTTCAAAACGTGGCCTACTTGGAGGGCACCGACACCTTGCGGAAGCACGCAAATTCAGGTGCGAAAACACCGATGATGTACATCTGTGCGGAAACGCCGTTCGTTCTCGTTTTGTCGCGCGCACCCCCCGGTACCATTTCGCCGATTGACCGATGGGCGCCATAACGCGCGCATTTACGGTACTCAAGAGGGGGAAAATGCTTCCACTTATACAATAGGCTGCCGAAACCCTCCTGCACCCGTCCCTCTCATGAACATAGACCGAGATTGACATATCGTCTGTGGTTTCGAGAGGAGGTATGAGAAGGAGAAGCAAGGAGGTAGATAGCTCGTGGTTCAGCCGCATGCTGGTGGAGACAAACTTAAGGAATAATAAAAACACACACAGAAAGACTACCCATTCGAGATATAGTAGACAAACCCCAGACAAGAAAGACCACAAGCAAGGATTTATTTTTTTTTCTTAATATGACACAACGTGTCCGGTGTGGCGTTTTTTTTATTTTTCTTAATATGACACCACGAAACCATCTCCATCATAGAAAAGAGTCTGAGACAGATTAGCAATGGATTCATAGCGTCAGAAAAGTACCTGTATGTCTACGATTTCCCAGACAGCATATAGGGACATCTCCCCTGCGGGTAACAGGCTCAACAAGACAGTTTGGTAGTTGTCTTGTTTTTGCATGTAGATCTTGGTGCGATGTGTGATTTCTAGGCGTTCAAATTCCGTCGTTGACAACCAGCCTAACCTAACGCTCGCTTGCAGATCGCCGTAGCTCGTGCTCGCCCGCACAGTCCTCGCGAATTATCACACGAAAGATCGCCGCCAAACAATGAATGTATAGTCTAGACTAACTAGAGGAGACGCGGTAGTTTGTAGACGAGACGATCAGTTTTACTTATACGACCGCGACGTAGCGAGAGGAACCCAATATTTTCACTCGCTTGTCGACACCAGCAGCAGCAGCTTCGGCGATAGGCTCCAATACCACGAAATGGTTCCATAACCGAACACAACACGCAACATGCTCTTGTAGTCTACAGCGTTAAAATCTTCATGAACATGATGAGGGAATCAGCTGGGGCGTCCTTTTACTTCGCCTTGGTATATGTTTCTGTGTGTGTTTTTATTATTCCTTAGACTAATAATGTGTTTCGCCTTGGTGATGTTTCTGTGTGTGTTTTTATTATTCCTTAGACTAATGTGTTTCGCCCTTCTCATTTCGTAAATACCTTCGCTCCTTCCTTCGCGAAGGCAGTGGCAGTCGCCTTGCCGATCCCCGAAGAAGCACCTGTAACCAGAGCGACGCACCCCTCAAGCTTCATGGCCATGATTACGTCTGGAGATGATGTCTGAGGTTTCAGAGGGTATGGATCGAAAAGCTCCGTGCGAGGTGACTGCTGTTGAAGGTGATTGTGGAATGGGAGAGGCAGGCAGCGTGGGAAGAGCGAGGCAACGACGGTGAGGTCCCGAGGGGGAAAATCCAAAACTTTAGGACTCACAGGGCGTGTCTTAACGCTCTAGACCTATGGAAGATGACAATATAGAGCGAAGCTTGGAATGAAACTTGAGGTTCCGCCGCACGCTAGCTGCAAGCCGGGAGTACAATATGAAGGCTTGTGTGTCAAAAGGGGACGTTTTGCGTCAGCAAGGCGGACACACTATCACACTCTCTTCGACACACGATACCTCGCTGCACCTGCCTCGTGGAGGCGTGGAACTGCCTTGGGAGTCTCGGGACCATCACAGGCAAGGGTGGAGGCCAAGGTTTCATCCAAATTTGTCACCGGTGAGCCCATAACCCGATATGCAACTACCTGTGGGAACCAGGGAAAGGCACCCACCATTCGACATACCCTCTGTGCCAGCAACTGATGCTCTCCACATAGTTGTGATTGCCCCATATATTCCCCGGCCAGGCATATCTGCACCTCCTGATCTATCTAGGGCAACAGTCCGTGTCTAAATCCGTCCAGTGTGTGTCGAGCAAAGTCAAATCTTCCAGACAGAAACGTCCACGATCACGTAGCGGGTGGTCGGCATGGCAACATGTCTCATGTCTCCGATCAAATTTGAATCTGAAAAAAGAGCGAGTGCTCAAAAGTACGCAAGACTGCATATACATATGCATACTGCTGTAGACTACATTGTCTATTGGTTATTCTACGTCGAGCATCACTAGCTGTAGACTTTTGCACTACTGCTGTGAAAGGTTGCCGCGGAAGGAAACTTTGGCCGTTCACCCTTATTGTTTATCGGCAATCTCCCTCGGGATACAGATCCTGAGTGAGGTAGCGCAGCAGTATAGTCTAGACTATACAAACCTCTGTCCAGACCCTTGGGAGAAACAAATGCCGATGTGGGGAGTAATGTTTCGTAGGTACCATAAGACAAGTGTCTGGTGCATCCGGCGGTAATGTCTGCCCAAAACACGATTATGGTTATGTCTGCCAACTCATGAGTAAATTCTTCGAGTTTCCTTCAGCAATTATCCCCGTCTTTGGTAGTCATGTTCTTTCGTCCCGTAGCCGGTGTTCCCTTGCCGGGTAGATGTACGCTGAGCATCGCAGTTCTCATTCACTACTGCTGTCACTATTTTGTCACACGGTATTTGGGTTACCCGTCGCAGGAACACGTTGGGCCTACAGCAACACCAATATCGTCAACCGTTGGTATACAGCCGAGGCATTACAACAACACCATTCCGCTGTAGCGGGAAAGGTCGGACAAAAAATATAAGAACGTGATTTTGGCATTCTGAAGTGGCAATAGAAGAAAGTAAGACGCGCGGCTGTACAGTAAACTACCCCGCCCTCCCCAAATTCCGTGCTTTATGGTACTGCTCCGACCACACCGTGCAGGATATATGCGAGCAACGGTTTGCTCACATCCATGCAGGGGGCGGGACCACGAGGAACCCCACCGCGCGCATGGCCAAGAGGAGGCACAGCAGGGCGACCGACACCGAGGAGTGCACGGGTTTTCTCGGATGAACTCCAACAAGAACGCCCGCAAGGAGGGACCTGACCTGGCGGGCTCCCGAGGAAAGCTCATGTTGTCTGTCACAGATGAAGAGCGACCGATGTCTGTTGACGCGCGATCAAAGGGATTTGTTGAATCAGCTCCTTGCCCTCGCGTTGTTGAAGTCGAACCCCTAGTATTTCCCAAGGTGCTAGGGAAGAGCAACGCCCCCGTGAGCGACCCCAAGACGAACCCGTACGAAACCAAACCGAAGGCGTCCAGGAAGTAGAGGTTACGGCGTGTGTTGTAGATGGGTTAAATGGAAAATGTTGGTCGGCAGTTGAAGGTTTATAGAAAGTCGTGGGCCCACGCGTTCTCCCCTCATTGTTTTTTATTGTTGTGGATAACGGTGGTCGCCGGTTTAAGGTTTATGGAATGTCGCGGGCCCACGCTTTTTTCCCTCTTTAGGTTTTGTTTCGGGTGCGTTTGAGATTTCTTTGCCTTTCTAATTCGAGTGTGTTTGTGCGTGTCTCGGAACGGCGATGGTCACCAAGAAAACGCCATTAGAGGTGTGGTGCGTTTGACAATTTTCGCCTATTTCAAGTGTGTGTGTGCGCGTCTCGGAACGGCGACGGCCACCAAGACAACGCCATGAGAGGTGTATTTACAACTCATGTTGCGACGTGGGGGAGGCAAGCCACGAGAAGCAGCGCAGATTATCTTAGTTTCGTTGATGCGTAGTTTAAGTTACATGAATACGTCGGAAGATCTGTGTGGATCATTTGTCATTTCCCGAATGTGGTCGTGTCAACTATCTTGTTCCCGCAGGCACCTGTCCGCGAATATTTTGCGACATTGTGGTCGGGTAATAACTACTGCTTATCTTTCGTGGAACTTGTGCGTTGCTTTGCCATCGACTTTTTTTTTTTTTGCTGTGATGCGGGCCAATGGCACGGTGCGAAACACCCTCAGCCCCATACAGTCCAACGGGTGAGCAAAAATACATTTCCCTCCACACGTCGACATCCGATTTCCCAATACCGGATACTTTCGGGGAGGATACGCAAAGTCGAGTAAACACAGGGGGCCCGTGGGGGAATCCAGATTTGCGGCCGGGTACCCTAGCCGTTGCGACACGATCATGCGAAACGGCCACGTTGAACATCAAGTCAGGAACGAAGGAAGTGTGTCCCACATGCGACTTGAAGAAGGCACACTTAATTATTTCGTCCCTCCGGAGTACCTGTGTGGTCGGGGTTGCTTATTATAACGTGCTTCCCTTCCCACACCCATGAAAAAAATAAAAATGAACGGAAACGGAAATAGAAGGCGCGAATTACCCCCCCCCCCCCCCCCCCCCCCCAATTTCCCCCTTCCCCCGGTTTTTTCCTTTCCCCAAAGAAAAAGTCCGCATTCGTTCTTTACTCTAGCCCATCGCTGGACGGCTTGGTAACCTGGTAACCATGGAAAAAAGAACGTCCTAGAACGTCAGCCTCTTACCCCTCAACACTCAAGCCTTCGACCGTCATCGCGAACGCACAA